GTGATCTAGAGAATATAGTGTGTTAAAAAAAAAAGCTCAGTCTTAACCATCTGCAGCAGTTAAATTGATCCTTATAACAGAAGAAATACTTTTACTTTTATCATTTTATCTATAAATTTCTAATAATAAAGTATTATGTGTATTCAGGTGTTTTCATCGTGTTGTTTCTTTTGCAAAAGGAATGGTTCTCAAATAATATCCTTCAACACTCATCATTGTCAGGTAATAGTTGATATTTAACCTAAAAAAAACCCAAAAAAAACCCCAGTTATTTAATCAGGAAGGAATGTGGACAGGTGAGTGACGAAGTGTTTCTCCCACTGAAAAAGCTACATGCAGATGCAGATGAACAGAATCAGCTTTTTGGATTTAAGGTCATTTATGTGAGTTTGCCTGTGAGTCAGAAATAAATCAAATCTGGTCAGTTGTAATTTTTGAACCTTGTTGTTGCTTCCCTTTAGTGTCTGTATCCTGAACACCTACAAGGCAGATAACCATTAAACCTGTTTCACTCTCAACTGTCTACATACTTTTACCGGCTCATCTGATTGGTTGATAACACACTATAGAGAATCGCTGGTCCTTAACAGCCCATGGTTTCAAGTCTAAGCCACTGGATTACCTATTTTGTTTTGGGGGGTTTTTTTGGGGTTTTTTTTGCTTCTTTCTTGAAGTTGTGCATCAGGATCCTTTCTCTTCCAGGTTCTTAAAATCTCATCATCAACAAGCAGCTCTGAAAGGATATTAATCTAGATAATGACAGGAGAATAAAATTAGTCTTTAGAGCCCTACTGGGAAGTTTATTTAACTATTGTAGGAAAAAATTTAGCTCAAAAACTTTTGGATTTTTGTAAAATCTGAAGTGGTCTGAAATTCCACTTCACTTAAAAAGACACAACGCATCTTATATTTATGCAAACCTAGTGATAAGACTTGTTTTTTCAGATAAGATTCATCTTGTTTTCATGGCAGTATGCGCGTGAGGACTGCGCACGCGCACCGGTTGTAAGTTTCCTGAGTGTACTCGTGGGTGGACTACAGAGCCTTATTATGTAATTTAACTGTTTACAAAAGTGAAACTGGAGACCGTGGACCACGAGGTGCTCCGGGGAAAAGAATGCACCGGGGGTGAGTTGTGTCGCCGTGAGCAGCGCAGTGAGGCTTTGCTCAGCTGTTTACAGTCAGCCGGCTTTTTCACTCTCACTCCGGTAGAAAAGGTGAAGTTCTCACAGTGAACGCTGTCATACCTCTGCTCACGCGCACACGTTAATAATGACGTCACTTGAGACCTCTGACTTGCGCTTGAAACACATTTTCAAATAGTTTAGCTGGAAAACATGAAAAGCAGTTATTTTTGTGTCGCCTCGGACAGCCAGTGCGCACGCGCCAAATGCGTCGACGTCAAGTGCATGTGATAATGATTGGGGAGAAGGCACGTGCACAATGTCCACCGCGCGGTCGTCCACCTGTTCGAGTGTAGCCGGCAAAACATTTAGCTTTCGTTTGAAGTTTGTGTGAACTGTATCTCCGAGTCTGTGAATCAGCCTTTAAAATAACCAGTTAGTGTTAGTCACCACAGGCAACTCGGACAGACATGGACTTCTTTCTTTATAGGAAATAAACCCAGCTTCATTACAGCGAGCTGTCGGGGTTATCTGCGTTAACAGAACCCTCGTACAAGCTGCTGACAACTTTGTAGGCTGTAGGAAACGAATGGTGGACATAGCAGCTGGTCCTGTTTAAGTGTCTGCTGTCCCCCTTTTATCTAACTCTGCCGGACTGCTGCTTCTTCTGCAGGTAAAACTCAAAGTGTACATTTTATTATGGTGAAGCAGACAAGCAGTGGGTCAAAGTTGTATTTGTTGAGAATGACATTTTACTGTTAGTTTCATGATGGCTTTAAGTCTTAAGTCTTTGAGCTCATGTGTGTTGGCAGCAAATTCCTGTGATTCCTTCTGCTGAGCAGTGAGTAACATTAGGTTATGGGTGGATTTGGTGGTTTAACTGTCTGATGCTTTGACTCATTTGTAACTTATTGCTCGGATGTTGCTCAGCCGGACAGTCTGCACTATTATTGTCTGACTCCAGTATGGTGTGTTATAATTACATGCATGCAAGGAAAAGCCATAACATACATATTTACCTTATGTATAAGCCTATACATAAGGTAAATATTTGTAAGGTAAGACTCCAGCACCTGTGTTCCCTGGGGCAGTCAAGAGAAGGTATTTGATGAGCACCAGCCTCAAAGAGATGAGACTGGTGGTGAGAGGCCAGCTCAGCAATATGAATGAGCTCGAACCCATTGGTACAAATTCCAGCACCATAAATCTACGAGTAAGATGGAGAGGGGATTGCAGTCAGGGATGAAACGCTGGATGAAACTCATAATCTTCTCTTTAATGTTTTTCTTTCTTAATCACATTAAATTGATGGATATACACATAAAAACCTTAAATCTAATCAACATAGACATATTTACATATTTACTCATCAACATACACCACAAAACAATTCACAATATAACATATACCTTTGCAAACATTTATGGACCCAACAATGTGGACCTATCCTTGTTTCATAGCTTTTTCTCTTTTATTAAGATAATGGTTTATAAATGACTCGACAATTACTACAATAGATGGATATCTTAATACACTTTTCACCCCTAAAATATATTCATATTCCAATAGCAACTCCAGATTCTGACATTCAACATGTATAATAAACCATTATATGAACTCTTACGGACTTGATGATAGTTGGAGAATAAATAATCCCACATCTAGACAGTAAACATATTACCCCCCCACCCACCCACCCATCAATCCAGGAACGTGATCATTGTGTGGAAGGTATTAACCCACAAAAAACACAATTTATCATTAAACAGCTTAAATACGACAGCTTCCAATATAGCAGTAAAGAAGGAGTCAGCATAAATGTGAAAATTAAACTGGAGAACCAGTTCAGAATCCCCAAGACATCAACAACGTTTTCAAATCCTTCTATAATCAGTTATATAAACTAGATCCTAATCCAAACCAAAATTATATAGAACACTTCTCAAAAGAAAAGGATCGTTCTAATTTCTCCACTGAACAAGCTAATATAACAAACTTTTATTATGACAACAAAAGAACAGGGCAGACATGTCAGTGATGGCCGATATGGGTGCGTCTGAGTTGGGGGGTGATTGGGATGTGCCGTGGGATATCAGCTCCCTACATGCCTTTTGCTGGCTTGCTCTGGGGCCGACAGTTTCAAGTGGTTCAAAAGGAAATCACAATTTAATAAAATTGCCCCTCCCCTTAATTCATGTATTTTTACTACTTATAGTAGTGTCATTACGAGGTATTATTATTATTATTATTATTATTATTATTATTATTATCGTCATCATCATCATGGACAATATTGCATTTCAGGGCATTTTTTAAAAATTTGTTTATTTTTGTTATTTCTTTAGCTTATATAGTTTTCATGACTATGAAATTATTTCATGTACCTTTTTTTTTAAATCAACACATACTTTACTGTGCATAGTTAATGGAGTACACTGGACTCAGTTTAATAATATTTTCACACAGTTTGCTTATCTTTTTGTCTGTTGACCTGTCCTTACTGGTCTTGTTTACCTCACACAAAAAAAGGATGACTGCTCCCCAAGGTTACTTGCTTCAAAAGTGTCTCAGGTGCCTAAAGACAGACCATGATGAGGAACATAGAAGCTCAAGCTCCCGCATGAAGTGCGAAAGGGCGTAAAGGATGGCACAGAGGCTCTTATCATGTCAGCACAAGTGTCCCTAAACACCAAATCCACAGTGGGAGAAGTCTGCCACAGCCGACAGGGCCCAAGCTGCAGACTGCCACGGTGAGAGAAACCACTAAAGCTGGTTGAGAACAGCAGGGCTCCTGTGGGACTGACCGTTCGAGGCAGACGAGCAGCTGCCGGTAAACCAACCATATAACCATAGCGGTGTGTGACAAGGAACAGAAAACCACAGTTGTGATAGCCTGGCAATCCCCAGTGGACGGCAACATCGAGAAGAAAGAGCACATAAGGCAAGTTTATTTATATAGCACAATTCAACAACAAGGTGATTCAAAGTGCTTTACAGAGACATTAAAAAACAAAAACGAATAAAAAGCATGATTTAAAATTGATTAAATAAACAGTAGTTTAGGTCTGCATCCATCACTACACCCAAATTTCTCGCCTGGTTTGTGGTTTTTAGGTGTATAGATTGAAGTTCTCTGGTGACCTGTAATCGTTTTTCTTTGGCGCCAAAGACTATTACTTCAGTTCTGTTTTTGTTTAGCTGGAGAAAATTGTGGCACAACCAGTCATTAATTTCCTCAATGCATTTACCAAGAGCCTGTACAGGGCCTCGGTCTCCTGGTGACATTGTGATATGTATTTGTGTGTCATCTGCATAGCTGTGGTAGCTTATTTTGTTGTTCTTTATAATCTGTGCCAGTGGGAGCATGTAAATGTTAAACAGAAGGGGTCCCACGATGGAACCTTGGGGAACTCCACATGTGATACTTGTCTGCTCAGTTACCTATTGATACAAAGTATTTCCTGTTTTCTAAGTATGTTTTGAACCAGTTTAGTACAGTTCCTGAAAGACCTGCCCAGTTCTCCAGTCGTTTGAGTAATATGTTGTGGTCAACTGTATCAAATGCTGCACTGAGATCCAGTAAAACTAAGACTGACATTTTTCCACTGTCTGTATTCAGACATATGTCATTGAACACTTTGGTCAGAGCGGTTTCAGTGCTGTGGTTCTGTCTAAAACCTGACTGGAAGGCATCGTAGCAATTATTCTGTTTTAAGAAGTAAATGAGCTGTTGAGAAACTGCTTTTTCAATGATCTTACTTAAAAACGGGAGATTTGAGATCAGCCTGTAGTTGTTCATTTGTGTCTTGTCAAGATTGTCCTTTTTCAGTATAGGTTTGATTACAGCAGTTTTTAGTGGTTCTGGAAACACACCTGATATTAAAGAAAAGTTGACGATCTGTAACAGGTCTGACTCCAAAGTCTTTGAGACCTTTTTGAAAAAACTTGTTGGCAGGACATCTAAACAGCAAGAGGAGTTCAGTAAAACAAAGGGCTGAAGAAACAGTTGGAGCAGATGTGGAAGGTAAAGTTGAAAAGGGTCCCAGTGATAATGGGAGCATTAGGAGCTATAACCCAGAGTTGCAGCAGATTCCAGGAACAACATCTCGGCGTCAGAGCTCCATGTGGAAGAGTGCAGTCTTGGGGTGTGAAGGAGATTTTGCATATATATGTGTGAGCTGATGACTCACGTGGAAGAGGAAGTAGTTTTCAGGGAGATAAATGGCTGACAGCTGAACAGAAACCAGAAAAACGAAAGTGAAAATGTGGGAAATAACACATCGTAGAAAGTCATTAACAGCATCACGATGGCTGTAGTGGCTCACAAGCTTTTCTTCATAAAGTTAAAGAGATACTGATACTTTACAGATATGTATTTACCCTTTGTAATACTCTGCAAGTTACCTTTTTATTCATTGTGTTTGACACTGCGTCCATAGTGTGATGATTGTTAACGATACTTGTCACTGATCATGAATAAAAGCCTCTGTTTAACTTGTATGTAAATCTGGGTCAAAAGACTGTGCAGAATGAGTATTACCCATTTTATGACTTTTTATAGCTGTGAATGTTTAACGAGTATGACCCAGATTGAGGTCAGCTGATAAGTCAGTCAAACAAAACATCGTAATTTATGGTTAGAATGAATAAACAGAGCTGCTTTGTAAATCATTCATAATTTATAAAGAGATGCAACACCGTTAAACTCTGAGTTATCGTGACACACTCAGACTTGCACCATGTTCCCCTCTGGCAGTGAAATATGATTTATCATTGATCAAAACCAGTGAGCGTGTAAATGTTTGATCAGAGCTGATGTATGAACACTTCAGCGGTTACTGTCACCTCTCACCTATATTTTCTTGTCAAATGAAGACCTGCAGCTGAGTCACACATGCATGGGTCAACCAGAGCATTTATTGGCCTGTGGGAAGTTAATCAATTATGGCTTTTGAGAATCACAGACAGGATCTGAGACTTGTTCTGCACTCATTCATTGTTCTCCTCACCTGCATTTCAGATAACTCTCCTTTGGAAATGACCAACATAAAGTCCAAATCGCAGAGCCAGAGCGATGAGGCCGAGGGCCCGGATGGAGGCTGGGGCTGGGTGCTGGTTGTCGCCATGTTTGTCAGCTCGAGCCTCGTGTTCGGCCTGATGCGGAGCCTGGGCATCTTCTTTGTGGAGTTCGTTCAGTACTTCGAGGAGAGCGCCCAGGCCATCTCCTGGATCTCGTCCACCGGCCTGGCAGCTCAGCAGTTCTTCAGTGAGTCATTGATGTTTGTGGAAGTGTGAGTGTGCAGTTTGTAGTATTACAGGTGACAATTGTACAGTAATTATTTTTCTTTCTTAATGCATTAAAACACTTATGGTGAGACTAAAGGGTAAATACAGACTACTACAGGATGCATATGTGACCCTGTTTGGATTAAGGTCTTTCGACCTTAAATCTTCTAAAGGGGGGAAAAGGTTGATATAGTTATAAATAAATTATGTAAATGTGTTTGCTTGTTCTGCAGGTCCACTGGCCGCTGCACTGTGTAATGCTTACAATCCCAGAGTGGTGGTGATGACGGGAGGCTTTCTGGCCGGGCTCGGCCTCACACTTGCCTCGCAGTCCACCTGTCTCGTACACCTCTACCTCACGATGGGAGTAATTTCAGGTAACGTGTGTTAGAGTCTTAAACCACCAGTTTTAGCCCGCTTTAGCTCCTGTTTTTTGGCACATCCAGTGAAAGGCATCGGTACACAGCTGTAGCACTTTCAACTTTAACTTACAGTTAGGGTTAGCTGGGTGTCACAATGTTACGGTAAAAATGTTAAAAATACTTAATTCAGACCTAGCAGTCATAATTAAACTCACTTTTTAACGAAAGATGACTTCTGCACATCGTGCAGAAACAAGATTCCGTTCAGTTCAGTTCTGCTTTATTTATACAGCACCAAGTCACAACAACAGTTATCCCAAGGTGCTTTATTTTGAATGTAAAGACCCTACAACAATGCAGAGAAAACCCCAACAATCAGATGATCCCCTATGAGCAAGCACTAGGCGACAGTAGGAAGGAAAAAAAACCCTTAAAAAGGAAGAAACCTCCCACAGAACGAGGCTCAAGGAGGGACACCCATCTGCTTTGCTTTTCTGGGGGTGAGGGGAGGGAGGCGGAACAAAACCATGCTGTGGAAGAGAGCCAGCGATTAATAATAATTCACAAAAAGACAAAATACAAGTCAGAATGACTCAGACACAGGTAAATGTTCAAAATGAACACGCTGCACTGCTGAACTCATTTCAAGCCGTGTGACAAAAAGCACAAAACCGCATCTGAGACGTGACATCACAGACGAGCAGCAGGTGTATTTCAGGCGTGAGTCACTCACACAGGTGCAACTACACTCTTGTTACGCTGCAGAGTGTAGTTGTTTTCAGTTATTGCTGCTTCTATGCATGCCATGAGCTAACTGTCCCCCCTCACTACACCGTCACCAACAGATCTGCTTTAAGTTTGGTGCTTCAAGATGTTTTGTACACACACCGTGTACTGCATACATCAGTGGTATTTTTTTGTACTATTTACCTTGTGCACTTTGCCAGTGTTCTTCTACTCGTGTTGTGGTGTTCACGCTCATTTGATATGATAGTGCATCCACCCAGTTTCCCGTACTCATCAGAGGAAGAGCGCAAAAAATTGATTTTTGTTTTCCAAGTCAGGTGATGCGTCAGAGAAACATTTTTATTTCACATTTACAATATGTTAAGTTGTGTCTCCCATCTGCGGAGCCTGAGGTTGTCTTACAGCTTTGTAACATTTACTGACCGAAAGTAGGATTTTCTTTTCTTTTTCTTTTTTTTTCTCCAGGGTTTAAAGAGGGTTTTAACAGTTAACCGATTAACTCGTAAAGTAGTGAACTGCTCGCTTGCCTCTCACGGTGTACTTTGCTCGCTTTGTGCTCCAGGTTTTGGATGGGGGATGGTCTTCACTCCCATGGTGGCCACAGTCATGGCTAATTTCACTCGCCGGCGTGCCCTGGCTCTGGGACTGGGGTTCTCCAGCATCGGCCTCTCCTCCTTCGCTTTCAACCCGCTCTTTCAGCTGCTGGTGGAGACGTACGCCTGGCGAGGGGCCCTGCTGATCCTGGGGGCTCTCAGCCTCAACATTGTACCCTGCGGGGCGCTGATCCGTCCGCAGCGGCGCTCTAAAGCACCGGAAAAGGTAGAACGGAAGGAGGAGCAAGGCAGTGGTCTGGTTTAAGTAAAAACGTGTCTCTCAGAGAGGAATATCATAATGTTCTCTGTCATAACCATCAGGACAGAAGAGTAAAGTTTCTTGCTCACTGACTTTGGAGCGATATGTAAAGATAAAGCTCAGACTTTCCTTGTTTCCTCTCCTGCAGGTGGATTCAGAGACAAAGTCATGTGCGTCCATGCTGCGGCGCATCGCCTCTTACCTGGAGCTGTCCCTGCTGACTGAGAGGCCCTATCTCACTTACACTTTGGGCGTTACTCTGTTTAACGTCGGCTACTTCGTGCCTTACTTCCACCTGGTGGCCCACAGTCGCCAAGTTGGCTTCTCAGAGTACCAAGCTGCCTTCGTTATGTCAGCTGCAGGTGCTTCGGACATTTTGGGGCGCGTAGTGTCGGGCTGGTTCTCCGACCTGGGCCACTTTCGGGTTGTTCATTTACTGACCTTGTGGACAGGCCTAGCAGGAGTGTTTATCATGCTGCTGCCAGTGAGCTCCATGTCTGGCTCCTACGCCACTCTGATGGTGATCAGCCTGCTTTATGGCTTCTGCTCTGGGGCTTTGACCTCTGTTGTTTTTGCGGTGGTGCCCATGATTGTGGGCGTGGAGCGCACGATGGGGGCACTCGGACTGCTGCAGCTCATCGAGAGTGGTGCTGGACTTCTGGGGACTCCTTTGTCAGGTAGGTGTGCGTTAAAGCTGCTGAGATAAAGCCAGCTTATAACAAAAACAACTCCATTGTAGCTTTAGTTTGAAAAGAATCTATCTAAAGTGACCTAAATCAGCCCAAAATACAACACACTGAATGTGGTGCTGTCATAAGCTTGGATAACTGCTCTTATAAAAGGCAGACACCTTGTCTGCACTCCTGCTACTTTTTAGATCACTTTGTGGCATTTTACTGTTAACCTCAAACCTGTGCAGAGAGCAAAAATCAAGTTTTGTGAAGCCGATCCGACTTTCACTTTTAAAAATCATCACTGAACGTGCGAGCTGCATCACCTCAGTTTTTGGTTGGTGTCACCAGAATCATTATTTGTCCACAGTCAACCCAAAGCAGAAAGCTTTGACGATAAAAAATGAGCTGTCAGTAACTGATTGACCTGTTTCTGTTTTATATTAATTTCAAAGCATGTATAAAAAGAGTTTTAACACAAAAATGAACCCTTTTCCAGATCAAATGTCTGATCTTAGGTTTCCTGCCACATTTTTTTCCCGCTCTAACTGTCTGCACTGTTAGAGGTCACTGGATTCAAGGTAGCAAAACGAATGAGCTGTTCAGAAGCTCTTATTTTACCCTACAAGGCTTCTTTTTTACTAGTATTCAATGATTAAACGTGCGATTTTGCGGAGCTTTATCAGGGCTTCATCTTTTTTAAACACTGCAGTGTTTTCCTTTAATCGACATGAGGCCGATATTGTGCACTTCAGTTTATCCCTCAGTCTTTCATCATCTCATTCTCAGTTTTACGGTTTCTTACATTTCAAGTAACATCCATGTTTTCTTTCAGGATTCCTGAAGGACGTCACAGGAAACTACATCGCCTCCTTCATGGTGGCCGGCTCCTTCCTCCTCCTCGGTATGCTGACCATGACCACCTTGCCTCGCTTTTTCTCCTGTACTGATCCACCGCCTCCTCAAAGACGTTCCCTCGATGCCAAAGAGAAAGTTTTGGATTTAGAGCTGGAGCAGATGAATAGTTCGCCCTCTGACAAAAACCACACAGTGGAGTCGAATGATCCAGCAAACCCAAAACTGTGTTAGTAGATAGAGCCTTGCACATTCTGAGCACACAATCAAATTGCATCCTGTTGCACACCTCCGTGAGCAACGATGTATTCATGTCATACCTCAGAGACTCAGTGAAAGATGAAGCTTCCTGTGAAACTCGTAGCAGCTGTAAGGGAGCGGCGAGCTCCTCCCTCTGTTACAAATACGAACCTCAGTTTAACGCTGGAGCCAGAACCTTCTGCCTTAAAGGAAACTGGACATTTTTTAAATAATTCACGTGACTGTTTTTGACATGTGACATGCAAAGTGAGGTGCTGTTTTTTTTTTTAATTAATCAATTTTTATTATTATTATTTTTGTTCATGTGAACCTGAGTCTGACTTTTCTGCCGAAGACTGGCCAGGATCTTTTATATTTGCACACACATTCTTTGAATGTGGCACAGCTCGAAAATTAAGCAAATGCTTGATCATCACAGCTCAGTTGAGTAACAACTCAGTTAAACTTCAGGGACGTCGGTCCGTGCTGTCAAGAAGCATCCATGAGTCCATTTCACCTGCTTTAATACAAATGAAATCATGCTCTCATTTTCCCTCCTGACCTGCTCGTGTCATTGTTGGTAGAACGAGTGTGCAACTGCAGCCAGTTCAGCTTCCACAGGTTTGCAGAGTCCCCCAGCACAGTCTGAAGGGAGATACCAGGAGACAGGCTGTTACTTGAGGAGAGCTGAAGGCGAGCACTGCCAGAGCTACAAAAATGACCTAATGTATGATAAGGACCGAGGCAAAAAGCAACACTAGAGAAAAGTCAGGAGGGAGCGAGCAGTGGTCCTTTTTTTTTAAATGGGGTTGTTTCCTCTGCAGAGCATCTGTCGTCACTTTGGTTTACGTTAGAAGTGAAGTGATTCAGTGGTTTCTCCTTCCTCTGGACAAATAGATACACCTGAACTTTACCTGAATTCGTGTTAGACACCGATGGTCGAGTGCTCTCCTCATTTATTTCTTTGGTGTAGATACCCTCCATAAAGTGAGTCACTTTTTTAAATTTTGCATCATCATTGCATACACTTTTACTAGCTTGGCATGACAGGACTAATGTGTGAAACGTTAGCTCTCTGACCTGATCTGCACGTGACAATGTTTTAATTCGGAGAAACCCAGTAAATTGAGCTTAAAACCAGTGGCACACTGGTTTTGGTCGAGTTACTGACAGGTCCTGTGAAAGCTTTTTCAAGGTTATTATAGTTAATTAATACTAAACCTATGCATGGCAAAAACTTGCATCACTTCAGTCTGAGAAGCAGCCTCCACATTAAGGCTGGAGTCTAAAAATTATTTTGAAACTAATTAAAAAAAACCCTAAAATAAACAAGAAATTAAACAAAATAAATTTCAGCTCGTTGAATAGGATATGAAACTAATGTACAACGCTACAATACATGTGTTTTTTGGACTTTTTATATTCTTAACCCTGTCGTGCCAAGTGTATCACACATGAGCTGATGTATGAGTTTGTAACACTTCTATATCGTTGTCATCATCAACATTAAAAGCTTAATTAAATTGCACAGTAGATTTTTAACCTATAAGATGCAAAAAATGCCAAATGTAGCAACTATAGTACAAATTTTGTATTTAATTAAAGCGTTTCGTAAGGTTCAATAAGCTCTCGATTTTCAAAAAAATATAAGAATTTTCTAGCGATTACTTTGTGGTTTAAGCTTTAAATGGTTACATTTTTAAAGTTCTTCAGACATACAATATCTCACAATCATATGTGAGCCTCTGCTGGCTCAAAGATGAGGTAAACCACAGTGTCAGCTGGTCTGGGTAAAAGAATTTGTATTTTAGATGCTGACTGGTTATGATGCTTCAAATTTAAAGGCGTGTTAAACACACATACACGCTCCAAAATTAGGAGAACAAATTTAACGACTGCAGTGGCTGTTTTTCAGGTCTACGCTGATGGTGATTTACTGCTGCCTGCAAATGTCTGATTTATTGTTGTAATCTGTTGAAGCGGATGTTTGGATATAAAAACCGCAGCATGTCCTGTCCTGTTAACGCTGACTTATTATGAGCTCGGCTAAATGAGCTGCTCGTGGCGACTCTGAACCTCAGGAATTCCTCTTCCCACCGCTGCGTTTTGTTGCACAGCAGGAACACAAGACTGTGTTTTCTCAGTTGCGTTTTCCTGATGACACAGTCGCCTTTTTTCCTCGAGCACTTTGTACTTTTGCTGACCGTAAACTAGAGCAGGCTTTGTAAACCAGACGTGTTTGGTTTGGAGAGCAGCTGGATGGTTGCCATGTTTGAAAGAAGAGCATGACTGGATCACTGTGACCTGCTGATCATTAGCACACTTACTTACTTTAAAGGTGTTGCAATGCAAAAAGCAGGTGGTCTGTGCTGAACAGCTTCTTCTTAGTGTTCTTCCTCAACTGTCTGTGACTCTGGAGTAAATTTACCTTGTCAGTTACCTGCAAATTGTCAGTGATTGTCTTCTTTATTATTATTTTTTAAAGCAAACATGTATTTTTCGGTTTATTTCAGTCTTTTCCTTATCAGACAGATCTTCACAGAGATTGTTTTCATCTAAAACGGCTGCAGGATGCTGCTGCCCTCTGCTGGGCTTTTGACAGAGATACAAACCGTATTCATCTTCTTTAACCACCTAAGACCTGAACTCTTCCACAGCATGCATTTTTAATTTCTCTTTGATATTTGGGCTGATTGGGACCTGATGAATGTAAAAACAAAGAATTACCAGATTTTTTTTTTTTTAACCTAATTTTTGTTTCTAAGAAAAATGAGAGCCGCATATGAGGATATTTGTTTAAAATTTCGATAGAACAGTAGCAGTATAATGTCCTTGTAAGTAGATATCAGGCCCTTGTAGAGCAACATTGAGTATTTTGGTCTAAATAACCCAAAATGTGATGTCCACATATGTGGACGCCAGGTCCTAGGAGGTTAAAGGGAACCTCTTATGCGTTTCTTTATTTTCTCTCATATACTGTCACAATGTTGTGTGCTTATATTAAAGACGGCTGCGTACTCGCTGCTAGTGCTGGGTCTGACTCCATTTTTCTCTCATTTATTCTTCTGTCCCATCACATCCCAAAGGCCCTGTACTGGATTGAGATCAGGTGAGTGTGGAGGATATTTGAGTAAATGATGCTCTGCTTGTACAAAGGGGCCCAAGAAAATATCCCCCACATTATTACACCACCGGCTTGACCATTTTTTTGTGGATAGATCCATGCTTTCATGCTGCTTACACCACATTCTGACCCTGCCATCTGAACAATCTGTTCAGATTGACAGCTGTTTCCGATCTTTTATTGTCCAGTTTTAGTGAGTCTGTGAGTCAGCTTCCTGTTCTTACTTGACGCGAGTGATATTTGATGTGGTCTTCTGCTGCCTCTGCTTCAGTTTTGGAAATGGTTTTCTGCATACTTTGGTTTTAACGCGTTTATTTGAGCTACTGTTGCATTTCTATCAGCTTAAACCAGTCTGGCCATTCTCTTCTGACCTCAAATATCAACAAGACGTTTTCCACCAGAGAACTGCTGCTCTCTGGATATTTCATCATTTTTTCCAGACCATTCTCTGTAAACCCTACAGATGGTCGTGTGGGGAAATCCCAGCAGATCAGCAGTTTCTGAAATGCTCTGACCAACAACCATAACACATTCAGTCACTTCAATCCTCTTCATTCTGATGCTCAGTTTGAACTTCAGCAGGTCACCTTTACCCTGTTTTACATCCTTAAATGCACTGAGATGCTGCCATGTGATTGGCTGACTAGATATTTGTGCTAATAAGCAGTTGATCAGCTATACCTACTTAAGTAGCTGGTTACTGTCTATACACACTTAAGACTGCTCTATACACTCTGTTGCAGGCATGTTTTTTTCTACTCTTGGTTTAATACAGTGGTTCTTAACCTGGGTTCGATCGAACCCTAGGGGTTCAGCAGAGCCTCTGCCGTGACATGCACGGCTCATTTTGTGCACCAGTAAAAAACATATGAATGTCTTGAATTTGAAAAAAACCATATTTTATTTTTCACTAAAGAGGGGTTCAGTGACTGCACATATGAAACTGGTGGGGTTCGGTACCTCCAACAAGGTTAAGAACCCCTGGTTTAATACAATGTCACAGAAACCAGACATACCCAATACTGATGCTCTTAAGCACAGCGGCTCCATCTGTGAGCACCACCAGTGGAGCTACATGCTCTTCTGTTTGCCAATCAGAAGAAAGCTGGATGAAACAAAGGTGGAGATAATATGGCTCGTTTCAGAGAACGTGAGACCCAAGACAAAATTAGTAAGGATAATTAATGAGTTTTGGAAAGTTGTGCAAAGCACCTCTAATAGGATGACGAGTTCTTTAAAATAAGAACTTATTACTGCTTCAGTTCAAAAAGTGAAAACTGAAATACACAAACACGAGTTTGAATTTTTCTTTTATTTGATCTGAATACAAATTGAATGTACCTCACATAATTTAGACAAAACATGAACACAAAGTCCCAAATTTAAAAATCTGCAAATACTCCCGTTCATCGCAAGACGGTAGAAATAAAATGCAACTTTTAACAACAATTTCCTACAAACATTTTTTTTTGTTTTGTTTCATGTAATGAGTCAGTAGAAATCGCAAAACCTAAAACAACAGCCTCGTTTCGCTTACAAAAAGAAGGAAAAAAAGAAATAAAAAAACAGATTTACTGGTTTTAATAAGAAAACTTTTGGCAGAGTAATGGTGCTACCCTCTGCTACAGACACCTCACGCTGGTCTCATAAAGCTGTTGCAGTGTTTCCACTTGGACACGATTGTTCTGCTCTGACGTGCTCGCACAAAGAATTCACTGTTCGGAGCGCTCGTTCCCTCTGAAGTCAACACCAGCTGAGCTGTGACCGAACACGTGGCAGGTAGCCAGCGAGAGAGAGAGAGAGCGAGTGCATCTGCATGCCTGAAAGATGAATCTTTTCTATATGTGCCTGAAAGTATGTGGTGCTGCACTGTGGAATGAGGAGGTGGAGAGGCAGCTGGTTAAGACTTCGGGTCAGCACTGCGGCGTTTGAGCTTCTCCGGGTTGTTCGAGGCCATGTGGGAAAAGTCTCTGAAAATGTCCTGGTAGGTTTCATCACCTGAAAAAGACCAGAGAAGACATGAGCCTCAAAAGCTTTTGGGAATATTGAAAAGCTTAAAGAACCCACATTAATGCCGCCCTTGCTTTCTGAAAGCACCCGTACTTTAATGTGCCGCAGCCATCGTTTCATCAAAAGCTACACCGTTAATTGCACACCAACTATTTCCTGGACACGTTTAGAGCTGTAGCCCTAAAGCAAGACACATGCAACTGAACACATAAACACACGTAATGGCATGCACATGCACTTTACCTCTTAGTTTGCTGTAGGTGGCGCACACTGCACAAGCAGTTGAGACCAGCCGGACGTCTCAGAGGGCAGAAGGCAAAGGCACACGAGTGCATACAACACAGACAACAACAACAGACAAAGCACAGCACGTCAAATACTGACCAGCAGTTCTTTCAAGCAGACAAACACAACTTGTTTTTCTTGTCCTTTTTCCTTCTCTCCCCAATTCCCGCATGACTAAAAACCGGACACAGGAGACTAAAGTATAAAGTTATCAAGAAGCCCTTAAACGGACCCAGAAGACAACCACGAAGGAATGGTCTTTGCAGCTTGAAAAAGAGCCAAATGGCACAAAAAATGCGAACGAAACCCACTGTTAACCTCAAGCTCGAGGGGCTGCGGCAAAGCGCTCAGTTAAGCACAAAAGAGGTCAAATCCAACAGTGTCGAAGCTTAAACTGAGTCACCGTTCACAGAACAGCGGGAGAAAATTGTCCTTGAGAACCAAAACCCAACCTTGAATTTAGCTTACATAAACTGGAATAAGAAACACAGTCACAAATACACAAATCAGCACACTGTACAGACAGAAAATATCCTAAATACACTGAAAATTGGCCTGACCCAGGTCTACTCTATACACAGCTTCTTTAAGCTCGCTTAAAGAACGGTTTAGTATTGAAGACGCCCACATGTAGGTCTGTGTTGACATAGTGTTCGGATGCTTTGTGGGTTTCAAAGTGCAGCATGATGTGCATTTACAATTCAAAGTGCGTGTGACCACCTCATGAGAACCACCCGTCGTACCCTCTGTTCCAGCCTATCTTCTCTCACAGGATTCTTTAAAAAAATCTAAGTTGAAGCTTGTTTTTTTCTTTTTCATCTATAAACTCATGCACGGTAAGGCATGCTTGATTTTAAAAATATATATGTTTTAGCCAAGTTTGTCATTTTGAATCCCCATAGCCCATCCACTTATATGGTTCTTTATAGCCTGGAGACTCTTTCTAGTATTGGCCAGCCCACCTCCAGTCCCGCCCACTCCACCCCCTGATCCCTGCCCCTCTGAATGACCTGGTTGGCCGAACGCTCCATCCATCTCCCGCATCTCCTTGTTCATTTTGGCAATCCGCAACCTGAAAGACAGAAGATCGATTAAGCGAACACGCAGCTGCTAACGTGGCTCACGTGTTTTCTTTCGAGTCAAACACTTACAAAGTGACGATGTCTGCATTGGCGTTATCCACGGCGATAGTTATCGGGTCCTTCTGGTTCTTGTCTCGGGCGTTGTAGTCAGCCCCTCGCTTCAAAAACAGACAAACCAACCTGAGAAACGGAGAAGAGAGAGCACATGAGAGACTTTAGCCTGGAAATCTATACTATATCCAAGCATTTCCAAGGACCCGAGCATTTAAGGAACTCAAGTGAAGGGACTGGAGTTTAAACTGACTTTCCCAACCAAAGCTTCTGGAGTTTAGTGTAGTTTCTCTTCTCGTTTTCTATCTCTACAGATCCACTTTCATATCCAATCAACATTAAACTCATGTCACAGTAAAAACCACAGCGTCACAGTACTCTTCTCAGGAATATCTTACAGGAAATGGACAAATCTGCATGTATGTGTTTCCAAGAGAACCAATAAAAAAAAAAAAAGTTAAAACAATAAAAACAAACAGAATTATCAAACTCTAGATGATTGTCAAACAATCAGTTTCCTCTTGTAGCCTCCCTTTATGCTGGCTTTCTTTCTGATTGGCTGCCCCTCTGAGAGATGACCGCATTGGGGATGTCCACTCATGATGTTTGGAGCAGTCTGAAGCCTGAACCTCAGGGATCACACAATAGCTTTCTAATGCTTTCTAAGTCGTTCATGCTTTTGATGGAAAGCACAACGGGGACTATTAGTTCATGGGTTTATTTCTGTATTAGATTCACGTGGGTTCAATTCTTGGAACTATGAGTTCTGAACAGTTGAGAAGAAGTGTTGTCATGAATGTATCTGAATCATGTTATTTCTTGAATTTCAATGTATTATTAGAAACAAATAAAAAGATACTTAAAGGTAAGGAAACAATGAATTATACTGTATTATGTATTATAAAGTGTTACCGAAAATGCTGCAAAAAAAAGGGGGGGGAAAGCTACAGTTTTGAGACTATTTAATATCAATTATGTCCAACTAACTCGTCGCTCTTAAGAATAAACGTTTATGTTTCATTGTGACTCATTTTCCACTTTACTCACCACCGGCAGGTATTGTTGGCATAATGAGTCACACCAGCCTTGTTATTAGTTTAAATATATCATCAAGTTTGGACATTCTGAATCCTTGACCTTGTTTTTTTGGTAATATTTGACGTCTGTTAA